AACCAACTGGGTGGCTCAATCAGTTAAGTGTCTGACTTCAATTCAGGTCATGATCTCACGGTTTGTGAGTCTGAGCCCTGCATCAGGCTCTGTGCTACTAGCACAGAGCCTGCTCTGGATCCTCTGTCCCCCCCTCTCTCTCTGCTCCTGCCCCACTTACACGCCCATGCTCACTCTCTCAAAAATAAATAAACATTAAAAAAGAAAAGGAAGGGGTAGCCTGGGTGTCTCAGTCACTTAAACATTTGAATCTTGATTTTGGCTCAGGTCATGATCTCAGGGTTTGTGGGATCAAGCCCCACATCAGGCTCTGCACTGACAGCACAGAGCCTGTTTGGGATTCTCTCTCTCCCTCTCTCTCTGCCCCTACCCAACATGCATGTTCTCTCTCTCTCTCTCTCTCTCTCAAAATAAATAAATAAACTTTTAAAAAAGCAAGAAATGAGAGAAAGCAGACAAAACTATATATATAAAGTCAACCACTATTAACAATTGTATATACACATTTATATATTTATGTATATGCACATTTACATACTTATGTATTATATGTACATGTGCATTTACATTTTTATATATACACATTTATATATGTATACATACATTTATTTCAAATTATTAATAGTGGTTGACTTTGACAAAGGGATTAGAATTGGTAAAGAAAAGAGATTCTCACTGTTTCATGTTTTCTATATTTTGCTTATGTAATTTTCACAAAAATAAAAAATGGAATAAAAAGTAAATAAACTAGAATGACAAGGTCATATTCCTGGAAATGATTCACAAATACAGAAATAATGATTCGACTAGGGTGTTGGGATTGTATATAATTTCTACATCTTTTTTTCCAAAGTTGCCTTTAATGCTGTATGTTTCAATATGAAGAAAATTCAATTAAAAAAAAAAGACTTGGGGCGAGAGATGAGAATACAAAATGCCAAACTCACAGGATGCTTTTGTTTTGTTTTGGGCTACACCCTCTTCTCCACTCACTGGCCCTTCCCAGCCTCACCACCCACCAGCCCCAGAGGCTGTGCATTCTGGGCAAGGCTAGCCACACCTTTGTCTACATGCTGGAGAGACAAGGGGCTAGGAAGGTGGGAGTCTGTACCAGGTATCACTAGATACGTGGGGCATGTGTGATTGCAGAGAAAGGGCAAGAATCTATGAGCTGGTGCCACTATGCCCACGGTCTGGTAGAAGCAGAATGTTTCTCTCAATGAGGCTGCCTGGGCGCACTTAAGCACCCACATTATTTATTCTTGGTGGAGATAAGAGCAATTCAGTGGGAGTGATGTGGTGATGGGAGCTCAGGTTTTCAAAAAAATAGGAAAACAACTCCAGTTCGTTGATAAAATCTTAGCAAACATGTGAGAGAGAAGAGGGGATTGTTAATACAAAACAGAGTCCTTGTGGCAATTCTAGGATGATTCTAGAATCATTCTAGAAGAATGTTAAGGTCCTGTCTGTAGATGATGAATAAATGAATATGTACCTGATTCTGTGCAGGACCCTGAAAGCAAGATTGTACAAGTCAGAAAGCCATTTGGGAATGGTTATTTTAAACTTTGATTTACTGGAGAAGGATACATTGAATTTCTTTAACTCATAAGTTTAAGGGTGCCATCATAGGGCATTTAACAGCTCCGCATTTCTCTTAGAATGAAGACTAACATATTTAATGTGCCCTGTGGAGACTTATGTCCCTCTGCAATCTCATCTCATGCCATGCCCATCATCACACATGATTCCAGTGATGCTGGCCTCCTCAGTTCCTGGACACATCATGTTGTATTCCTTTCACCTCAAGGCCAGGCCTTTGCACATGCTGTTCCCTCTGCTCAGATCATCCTTCTTTTACTTTGGCCTGGTAAAATCATGTTTATCCTCCAGAGCACAGCTTAAGTACCAAGCACCTACCAAGTTGTCACTGTTTCAATGTCCCTCAGCACCGCCCACCTCCCCCCTCCCCCAAACTTCATAGCACTGTCTTCAAGCAGCTTGTAACCACATGTTTATTTATGAGTTTACTTGTTATTGTCTTTTTCCCCAATGCGTGGTCTATTATGGGCAAGAATCATGTCTGCCTTGCTTAGTACTTTTCCTTTGAGGTCTAGCACAGTGTCTGGTAGGTTCTCAATGAATCTTTGTTGGATGAGTAAATAGATGAATGAAAGAATAAATGAATGAATGATCTGACTCTGCCTTCTGATGTGCCTCAGGCTGCTCTAGACTTATTTGGCTGTGGTGGTGACATGAATGTTCAGACATCTTTGGGAGGGATGTATGTGTTTGTGTCTGAGGAACATTGTCATAATGGGTACTGCCCCTCACCTCCCCCTCAGAACTCACTGTGGCTTGGGACGGAAGGGAATCATGGTTCTCCAGGCAGCATCATACTTCCCCCAATGGAGCTCTGTTGCTGTCCCTCGTGTCTCAGGCTTCCTCACCTGCTGGCTCCAGGGGCTGTCTTCTAGGGTGTAAGTTTTCTTGGGAAAGAAAAACCAAAAGAGCATCAGTTTCCTGACCTCATACTGTCCTGGAGTGTTGGCCACCCAAGGATGATGGATCTTTCCACATCCAGCTGCTAGAGTCAGAGAAAGACAAACACTGTATGATCTCACTTATATGTGGAACTTAAAAACAACACCAACAAAGAGCTCAGAGAACAGATCAGGGGTGGGGTGTGGGCAGAATGGGTGATGGGGATGAAAAGACACAAACTTTCAGTTATAAAATAAATAAGTCATGGGGTTGTAATGTATGGCATGGTTGATACAGTTAATAATACTGCCTTGTATGTTTTAAAGCTGGTAAGGAGTAGATCTTAAAATTTCCCATCACAAGAAAAAAGTTTGTAATTATATGTGATGATGGAAGTAATATTGTAGTGACCTTTTTGCACTATATGTAAATATTGAATAAATGTTGTACACTTGAAACTAGTAAGTTTCACATCAATTATACCTCAATTTAAAGAAAAAAATAAAAGAGCGGCGCCTGGGTGGCTCAGTCAGTTAAGCATCCAACTTTGGCTCATGTCATGATCTCACAGTTCATGAGTTCGAGCCCTGAGTCAGGCTCTGTGCTAACAGCTCAGAGCCTGAAGCCTGCTTCAGATTCTGTGTCTCCCTCTCTCTCTTCCCTCCCCTGCTCACACTCTGTCTGTCTGTCTCTCTCAAAAATAAATAAAGATTTTAAAATTTTTTTAAATTAAAAAAAAAAGGTTGCTGGGTAGGGAATAAGCAGTGGGCCAGGAGTTAGGACAACTGAGTCCCAGCCTTGGGTATGCCCTACATTCACTGGGTGCCTCTGGACAGGTCACTCTACCTCCCCATTTTTTTATCTGTGGTACACAGTGTAGACAAGAATAAAGGGAGCTATAGTTAGTCACCCACACAATGTGAGACCAAGTTGCCCTCTGAGAGTAAACCTACCAAAAAGAAATCAATAAGTAAGAAAGTAAGCCCCAAACATTACATGTGACCCTTTTGATAAAGTGGGAAACAGGGGCATCTGGGTAGCTCAGTCAGTTAAGTGGCTGACTTCAGCTTAGGTCATGATCTCCAAGTTCTTGGATTCGAACCCCACATCGTGCTCTGTGCTGACAGCTCAGAACCTGGAGCCTGCTTCGGACTCTGTATCTCTCGCTCTCTGCCCCTATCCTGCCAGTGCTCAGTCTCTCCCTCTCTCTCTCTCTCTCTCTCTCTCTCTCTGTCTCTCTCAAAAATAAACATTTTTAGAAATTGATAAAGTGGGAAACAACTAAAATAAAAAAGAATATTGTCTTTAGGGCTTCATATAGGATAAATAATAGTATTTTAGAAGCATAGTAAGGGATTGATGAGAAAAGATCTGGGGCAGTGTTTACTTCAGGTAGGGAAAGCTGGGGGATGAAGTCGGGGAGAAGATCAATAGCTGGATGTGATTGTTAAGGTCCAAGGTGGTGAGTTGTTGATGGGTTTACAGGTGCTTATTGTATTATTATAAGTAAATACATAGATAAATAGGCGATAGATAGATAGATAGATAGATAGATAGATACATAGATAGATACATAGATAGGTATAGGTAGATAGATAGACCAAGAGGGTGTGTCATGACCAGGGAGTACAATTCATCTAATTGTGAAGCCTGAGATCCATTAAAAGAAATCAAGGTTGAATAAATATGGGACAAAATTTTCTAACCTAATTCATGACCATTGAGAATACCCTGTCAATTCAGTTTCCTGGTATTTTGATGCAAAGGAGACCTACTTACATAGCTGAGTCCTGAAACCATGTCATTGCTCATGTCCATGCCAAGATTCACGAGGCCACCAGAAGACCTGGGGACCCAGTATATCCTCTTCCTGGTCATTTTCAGCTCTTATGCCAATCCTTCTTTTCCAGGAATCAGAGAATCTGAAAAGGCAGCAGGTAAGAGCAGCTTAGATTCAGCCCTGAGCAGTCAGGAGAGGGGGACATCCCCCTGCAGGGAGTGTGCCGGGGTCATGCAGAAGGTTGGGCCACTGACACAGCACCTGCTCTTCCCTCTTCCTGGAATGGCTCCCTCTTTTTAAACATCTACTGAGGCTTAAGATCACTTAGGGAAACATTTTCTAATCACCCACTCCCAACCCTACAACTTAGGGCCAAGCCTGCTCATAGAACCATGCTTCTTCTCTTACCCCAGTTTGTAATTAAATATTTGTGTGAATCGTTATTTGTTCAGAGTTCATTTCCCGCTCTAAATAGAGAGCCTCACAAGGACAGGGACATGTCTGTTTAGCTCACTATTGAATCCTTGGAGACTGGGAGAGTGCTAGAAGGATCGCAGGTGCTCAGTAAATAAAGGATAAATGGATGAGTAAACAAATTTAAAAAATGCAATTTTGCCATTTTCTGACTCTCAGTTTTCACAGAATCAGGGGATTGGAGCTGGACATAATTTAGGAATCTTAAATAACCCAAGGTATTTTAAAAATATATTAAAATGCGGGGGCGCCTGGGTGGCTCGGTGGGTTAAGCATCCGACTTCAGCTCAGGTCATGATCTCGCAGTTCGTGAGTTTGAGCCCCGCGTCAGGCTCTGTGCTGACAGCTTGGAGCCTGCTTCGGATTCTGTCTCCTTCTCTCTCTGCCCCTCCCCCGCTCATGCTCTGTCTCTCTCTCCCAAAAATAAACATTAAAAAGAAAAAAATAATAAAATATATTAAAATGCTTTCCATTTTACCTTTCTGAGTATGTGACTCACTTCCAGAACACCCATGTGCCTGGGTTGGGGGAGGGGATGGCAATTAAGAATATTTCTGAAGGAATGGAAAAAGAGAGTATATAACAGGGTATGACCAGAGTATGACCAACAGGGCCAGCATCATGGGGTATGACCAGTGCCTTACAGAGCCTTATATTCAGAAAGGCCCAGGCTTAGCTAAGGCTCTACTGTCACTATCTTGAAATCCTTAATAATTTGGAACAAGGAGCCCCACATTTTCATTTGGCACTGGATCCTGCAAATTATGGAGCCTGTCTTAGGGTTCAGATACAGCTCCTGACATTGAAATATTGGATTGTGCTTCGAGTAAGTAGACTTGCACACTACCCAGTCTTGGGAGAAGAATTTTCCAAATGCCTTTATTCCATTCCCTCCCATCCCACTTCCTTTCAGCAAATCACAACCAGAACTGGCGGATTCCATTTCTGGAATTCTGCTAGAGACCATGCAAGACAGGGTCCCCAGATGGGGGGCATCAGGGTATGAGATATACTTGCCATGTGACGCTATAAGTGAATCTTCTCAGGGATGATGGAAATGAACAAAGAGAGAGAAGGACATGTTTTGGGTAAGAGAGAGTGTCACACAATTTGTTTAAGACTCTGGGAAGAAACAAGATTTCTGGCTGCCGTGAACCAGCCTGGAACACAGACACATTACAGTAAAATTGGTATAATTCAATAGAAGTCCCTGTGGATCAGACCACAGTGTATTGCAGTACAGTTCATTCACTACCTAAAGATTTCCAGGGGAGGGAATGGCAGGAGGCAGGGAGTGGAGGCAACAAATTCTAGATTGCAAGTCATGAGCTGGCAAGGGGCTGCGTCATTGGCGTGCCAATAAATGTTTGTATCTGTACCAAGCTACCATTGCAATTGGTGAATGAGCGTAGTTCCAACATGAATGCAGCTCGACATTTTGCTTTATGTTAATAAGTAAGAGGAAAATGAAATATCAAGATGTATGAAAAGGGTCACACCTAATTTCTTTGTTTGGTCTCTAAGAACCATGTTCTCAAATAAATAAATCAGATTTTCTGTCACCTTTCTGCTTAGTATGATCTGCCAATCTGTTTTATTTTTAAACACCTGCAGAGAGATACACTGAGGATTTCAAAGGTGTGACCCTTTTCTACACAGCATTTGTCCAGGAAACTAAAAACAGGGAAAAGTAAACCAAATGGAAATTAATGAAATGCAAACGTGTACAATGGATATATGTTTGCAGAACACAAATTGTTCATCTTAACGTAACTGGACCTCTGCCACACATTAGCATGGGCCACCCTCCAATGTGATGAGGTCCACCTCTGCTTCCTTGACTGGCCAGGCGGAATTCCCTCCAGAACTTTCTTTGGCAGTCCTTGAGAATTCATTGACCTCCCAATTTCCTCTTGGGAAGAACCAGAGTGGAAGCATATTCACTCTGATTAGTGGCGAGACCACCACTGTGGTCAGGGTAGGGACCAGGATGTGATGGGAATAAAAACAGAGAGGAAACAGATGTTTCCAGCCCTGTATTCTCCCCATTTCTTGGGGGGATGGGAGAGTCATGATTACGAACTTGGTTTAGACATGGGCCATTTGCATATGATGAAACAGTTTGGGAACAAGGCAGTGTGGGGGGGGGGGGGGGGGGTGCACAGCAGCAAGGTAACCTGTGGCAAGAGCTTTCTGGAGGAACTGACTTACTTCCTCATTGTGCTTCCCACGTACCCAGCAGGATGTAGTGTCTAAGGCCAGAGGATACACCAGTGGGTAAGGGAAGTGCCCAAGGCAAGGAGCAGAGGCACCTGCAAGCCAGGCCCCAAAGAGGTTTAGATGATTAGACCTTCCTCCTATACCTCTCTTTTCCAGTCCATTCACACCCTGTGCTAGTCAACTTTCTCTGCCCCAAGGTTTATTCCCTTTTGCTAGTTCCAATAGCTTCTGGAGGAAATCTTCCCAGCTGCTGAATCCCCACATCCCAGTGCCTGGCCTTCTCCTCTGTTCCAGCAACTAGGAAGCTCTTCCCCACCTTGATGTTTGCACCAGTCCTAATCTCTACCAAGAACATTCTCCTTCCAGCTCCTCGCAGAGCTGGTCCATTCTCACCATTCCAGTCTCAGGTCAAACACCACCTCCTGGGAGTAACCTTGCCAGACCTCCCTACTGAACACTGAAGTCCTCCTCCTATCACCTTCTACATAGTTTCCTATTACATTTCCCTTACTTATCAATTTCTGAAATGGCCATTTCTTTCTTTGTTGGCTTATTTATTTTCTGCCTACCTCACTAGAATGCAAGCTCTTTGAAACCAGGGACCGTGTTTGTCTGTTCATTGATGTATCTGTGAATCTAGTGTACAGTGCTCAGCATACAGTGGATGCTTAATAAATATTTGATGGAGGGGTGCCTGGGTGGCTCAGTAGGTTAAGCATCCAACTTCAGCTCAGGTCATGATCTCATGGTTCGTGGGTTTGAGACCTGCGTCATGCTCTGTGCTGACAGCTCAGAGAGTGGAGCCTGCTTCGGATTCTGTGTCTCCCTCTCTCTCTCTGCCCCTTTCCCCACTCATGCTCTTCTGTCTCACTCAAAAATATATAAACATTAAAACATTTAAAAATAATAAATAAATATTTTGATAGATAAATAAACAATGTAGATGTAGAGTCTTTCAAAGAAGGAGCCAGGAAAGCCACAAAGTCACTAAAGACCTCACATTTAGAGTCCTGATGCTTTCCCAGGTGGGCTGACACATCCATCACAGGAATATAATCATAGGATTAAAAGAAAATATTCATCAAACAAGCAATTTAAACATGGACCTATTCCCACTGCAGTTTCTATAGTTCAGTGTGAATTTGTTTAAAAAGAAAAATCCTTCGGGCACCTGGATGGCTCAGTCGGTTAAGTGTCCAATTCTTGATTTTGGCTCAGGGCCATGATCTCTTGGTTTGTGAGTTCAAGCCCCAAGATGGGCTCTGCAACAACAGCGCAGAGCCTGCTTGGGATTCTCTTTGGCTCTCCCTCTGCCCCTACCCTGCTCACACATGCTCTCTCTCTCTCTTTCTCAGAATAAATAAACTTTTTTAAAAAAGATAAATTCAGTGATTATGTGAATAGAATACCAATTTTGTGTGTTATTCTTGTTATGGGGGTAGGAGTATATGTGTGCAAGTTAAAAGCATTAAACATAAGTGTCTGAGATATTTATCACAAAGTTTATCAGATGGTTTTTAAATTTCTTTGTTAAAACCCTAAGAGCCTCAAAAAATCTAACCCAGCCATTCAGGGTCTCTGCAAACTGCCTAATTTCAGTTTAAAACTGCCAGGCTTCTCTGTCCAATGATTCAAAAAAAATCCTGAGCATATTCTAATAGAGTGGGATAAACCTCACAACCATCTTCATAGGATTCTGTATAATTAGGAGTATAACTTGATGGGTAAAATTCGGAGCGTTCACAGACGGCATACAGCAGCCAAAATGGTCTCTCGAAAACATAAACTGGAAAAGTTATTCTGCAACTTGGAACTGCCAGTGGCTTATGTCAGGCTTAGAGTAAGACCTTGACTTCTTTCTAGACTCCCTAACGAATCTTTTTCCTCTTACATTGCCCTCCTGACCCTGCCCACTTCTGTTATCCATACCACAAACCCTCACTCTCACTGAATTTCAGGAGAAGGTTCTGCAAATATCCAAAATTCATTCCAGCCACAAAGTCTTTGTGTTGCTTCTTTGGCCTTGAAACAGCACCCCCTGGACCCTCACCCCCTGAGGTTTGCATTGCTACCTCTCCAAGCATGGGGCCCAGTTGAAATGTCATCTGTCCAGAAAGCCCTTCTCTAACCATCTAAAGGATTTATCACCATCTGAAATTATTCTCCTTGCTTATTGTTTGTTTCCCTCACTAGAAGTTCAACTCCATGAAAACAGTAACCTTGTCTGTCTTGTTCACTGATGTATCCCCAGCACCTAAAGTAGAATCTAGTACCTGGTAGGTATTCTAATATTGCTTAGTGAGTGTATGAAAGAAGGTAGGATAATGTCAAAGAAAGAGCTGTGGGCAGGAGTGTTCAAGTTCCTGCATTTCTGTCTCCACCAAGCAGCCTGTACACCTGCCTT